ATAATGTCTTATTACTTTATCCCTTGTTACTAAAGAGTCCATGGAGATGTTTCCAGGCATAAATGACACACCATACAACTCATAAGGAGACAATCCTAAATCTTTCTGTGGTTGTGTTCTTATTCGCAACAATACTAAAGGTAAACATTTTATCCAAGTCATTTGAGTTTCATATTGTGGAATTTCCCACTTGAGGTAATTTAAAATCAACTTGAATACATTGAAATAGCCTCACCATTAGATGTTATAGAACATTATATGTATTTGTCTACATATCATACTTATTGTATAACCAACCATATATTAACCATAGAAAAGTATCAATTATCCCTCCCCTAGCCATTCCTTTGTCCGTATGTATTTACAAACAGATTACTTAGTAAAGAGCCAATAAAGGAGCGCTCACCAAACTCTGCTTGAGTTCGTTTGCATACAAATCTTTATTCAAAACAACATAGCTCATTTATAATCCTAATTTTTTTCTCAACTCCTTCATTTTAAACAAGGGTTGAATTATAATTCCTTCAATTCTCTTAGGTATTATTATTTATTTATTTTTATCAGTGTGTCCTGCACAGAGATAAAAACATAAATAAATAAATAAAACAACAACAAAAAGCAACTCCACAAAATAAATAAATACAAGCTTAATAAAATATTCTGAGTTACTGAAATAGTTTTGTATCAAACTCTAGTATCAACTCTCTGGTTTTAATATAATTTTTGTCAAATTCCAATTTAATCAGATTCCATTCAGATGGAAACAAATTTCCATTAAATAGGTTAAATCATTTATAAATCTAAACGAATCAATTCAAAGTCATTTCTATTGGTTAATGGTTATATAGGTGTATTCCAGTTCTTCTCATATTTCATTTATTTAAAAAAAATAACCTTATTTCTTACTGCAAGAATGGGTATTAAATTTCACATCCAGCTCACCTTCCTCAAACTAGAATTCTAAGCAGAAAAAAAAAGTTAAAAAGATCAGACCCCCCCCCTTTTCTTTTCTGTCTTTCTTGCTCTTAAAGCAACACAGCTGGCTGGGGGTGGGGGGAAAGAGACAGGAAAAGAAGAAGAAATTATGCAACAATTTCACCACTAACAAAATAGTTTTCTCTTCACATGCATTTTCCATTTCACTTTTACAGTAACAGCAAAAAAAATCTTCAGTTTACTGTTTCTTTCACAGTCTGGGATGGGGGAGAAACACACACACACACACACACACACACACACACAGGATCAGCATAGCCACACATTCACTTCCATTCAAACTGCTTGTATAAACACTTTCACATACAGATATTTCATTTCATACTTTCTCCTGGCAAACAAATAACTATTATTATAATTTTAAGGAACTGTTCAAAAGCCAATGAGCTCCTTTCCTTTCCCAATTTCCTTTGCTCTTAGAGCTTGCCTATTAACTTTCTTGCAAAATGAGACATCCGGCCGTTATTTGTTTCACAACAGTGAAAACTCTCCTGTAGCCATACCTTTCAGAAACATGTCTTCTAAAACCCTCATGGAGTGTTTGGATTACTTCACGTGTTATGGCTTTATTCAACACCTGCTATCCATCAGGTAATATCCATTTTCCTTCTGTATTCTTTTCCTTTTGTTTTATTACTTGGTTTATTGTGGCAACCATCATTTTATCTGTTGTCTAAATTTCTCTACATATACCTTTCCACATATACCTTTTGTGCTGCCTTTAACAAGTCATCTATACTTTTCCCTGTCCATCCCTCCAATTTTTGTAATTTCTTACTTATATCTGGCCAGGATTTTACCACAAATTGTATTTTTACCAGAAGAGTATTTGCTGGGTCATCTGGATCAGTTCCAGAATACTTCCTCATTTCGTCTTTCAGTCTTTGGAGGAATGTAGCTGGAGATTCTTCTTTTTCTTGTTCTATCATTAAAGCTTTACTCATGTTCTGTGCTTTTGGGACAGCTTCTTTTATTCCTCTTATTAATAATACTCTCATATCTTCCATGTTTTGTCTATCTGCAGCATTATTATTATCCCAATTTGGTCTTACTACAGGAAACTTTACATCTGCCAAAATTGCCCCCTGTGCTTGGGGATTATGTTCCCTAGTCCAGACCAAATGAGCTGCTCTTTGAATTAACTGTCTTTCTTCTGCTGTAAATAACATGTTCTGTATCACTCCTAATTCATCCCATGTGTATATGTTTGCTCCTAACAACAGATCCAGTTGCTCTGCTACCCCTATTGGATCTTCTATCATGCTTTTCATTTCTTTCTTAAAGGCGCATAATTCAGATGCCTTTAAAGGCTCATGTACAAAACTGATACGGGCCTGTCCTTGGCCATCTACTCCATTGGGTACTTCTCTTAAAGGAAAAGCCTGTAGTGGTTTATCCTTAAAGGGAAAATTCTTTATATCTTTCTTCAATTGTTCCAATTCTTTTACTAATACCTTATAGGGTCCACCTCTCACAGCTCCCTGGGCTTGTGTTACAGGAGCTGGTAGGGGTGGTGGAATAGGTATTTGTACATTTGTTGGTTGTGGTAGATTAGGATTATAAAGTGGGGGTAAATATTTCATGGATTTTTCATCATCTTCTTCCTCTATTTCATTCTTCTCTTCTTCTTGTAAATATATTGAGGTTACTTTATGAGGGCTAGGGCCACTCATAGTCAAGGTGACCCATTTACCTGGGTTCCAAATTAAAGCATAGTCTAACTCATTGACTAATGATTTACATGTTTTCCTTGACACATACTCATATAAATTCTGATAAGCAAAATAGTCATTTGTTCCTAATCTAGGCCACTCTACTTTTTCATCTTCCCACTAGAGAAAACAACACAAATTAACCATATCTTCCTTGGTTATGTCTAATTTACTAATTATTTCATTATATGGAGGTTTTCCCCAATTACTCAACAAAATCCCTAATGGACTTTCTTTATCTATATTCAATTTGGGGTTCCTTCTTATTTTTTTCAAACACTTCTTTCCTGGAGTACTCTCTGTGTTGCCCATACTGGTTTACCGTCCTGTGTATTCTAATTGAGACTTCACATAAATTACTTAATTCACTCCCCCCTGATCCCCCTAGATATGCACTCACATATCAGAGGTCCACTTTCGCTAAGTGGATACTTGGGATGTCACACACACACTGTCTCAAATTCACACAGGCCTACCCAGTCTTCCCACCGACTGCCTAGGCAGTGTATACTGGCCACTCCAGAACACTTACCTAGGTCCGTGCACGGAGTTGCCCAGTTCCCGGAAGCCAGCAACACACACACACCGGTTCAATTCGTATCTCTGTCTAATATCAACTCTATGGGTTCGCCGAGGAAAGCGTTGCTGCTCCTTTACCAACAAGATGAGATAGACTGTCGAAATCGACAGGGCATGCCTTCCACATCACCTTCTGGATCTGGTGCAGACAAACGATCCCGGTCTCGAGCCCCATGTTGGGCGCCAAAACTGTTGGTAGAAATTCTAGCCCACTGAATAACACCAAACTGCAAGTTGAAATTAGACAGAGATTTATTGGCTACAACGGTTTGCAAAGCGTGGTGGATTCCAAATAAATATTTGAGCCACACCTAGTCACAGCGAAAACACACATTATATACATTCTATCCCGACGCCTTGGCCCCTCCTCTGAGGTTACAATCTTATCAGGATCGCCTAAACAAAATACATTATCCATGCCCCTTACTATTTTGCTTCACCTATTCCCTTATATGTACTTTATCATGAAATCCTATAGTTCAATGTGGAAATCCTATAGCCTACGTGCAGAACTCTTCCAAGGTACGTGTACATGTAGAAATTGTGTGGAAATCTTGCAGTGTACGTGTAGAAATTTTGTGTAGAAATCTTTCTGTCTGCGTTTAGAAATTTTACAGAGTACGTGTCACTTAACTTTATTTTTTATTCTAAAATTTTATTCCTAACAGGCTCAAGTTTATTATTTAGTGTTGTGTAATCTTAGCAGTTTGGGGCTTTGCCAGCAGATTCATGATTAATTAAATGGTAATTAACTGAGAAGATTGGCATACTTGGGAATCAACTGTAAGCTTTTTTTCAGATCCTTGTTATTCACCCTCATAGTAAGCTGGGGTAGGTTAGACTGATTACTTTGGGAGCAAAATGGAGTAATCCAGAAAGATAACAATTTTTTTCAGGTAGAAGTAGGAATCTTGAAAATACTTTGGGGTTTTTCTTTCACAAATTCTCTATCTGCTAAATGGGAAAGAAAACTGTATTATCTGTGCTGAAAACATAGCTCCCTCTGGAACAATCTGACGGTGCATTCATGTATTGAAGACACCTGTTGTCATTCTCCCAGATTCTCTAAGCCGGGGCAGGGGTGTGTGTGTGTGTGTGTGTGTGTGTGTGTGTGTGTAAAACAAACGGCTATTTCTTCAGATCTGGGGCAGGGGTGTGTGTGTGTGTGTATGTGTGTGTGTGTGTAAAACAAACGGCTATTTCTTCAGATCCGGGGCCGGGGTGTGTGTGTGTGTGTGTGCGTGTGTGTGTGTAAAACAAACGGCTATTTCTTCAGATCCGTAGCGTTTTGAAAAGGCGACTCAGTTCCAACTTCTCGGTTGCATTTCCTGACTCTGCACCAAGCATCTAGCGTGAGATAGTCCCGCTTCTCCAGGTAGAAGATAGAGGGCACTGATGTCCAGGCTCTTTCTTAGGCGCTCTTTCTCTTGTCAGGACGTAGAGAAATGCGCTTATGGCAAGTCCTTGCAATACTGCATTATGGTCAGTAAAAGGTTATGCTAAAGGGGATTTAGATTTTCCTCTCCCTCTCACTTTCGTTTCCCCAGTCTCTTATTTAAAACAAGTTCAAGTTATAGGAAGTCTCAATCCCTCCGATGGCTCCTTTAACTCTGACTCATTCCGTCATTCAACTGCAGCCTTGCAGGTATCGAAGTCGCATTTTATACGACTGAAAAAAAAATCTAGGATGTCTGAGAATAGTATCCTAAGACTGTTTCCTGGCCAGGTGCTGATGGGGACATAAAATCCTCGATTTCTTAACCAATCTCTGGGGTCAGGTTTTCTTCCGCTTTGCGGTAGAAAAAGCCAAAAGCGGAAGTCTGGACTGTGCACCTTCTCGATCTCCTCCTTCCTTCACTTCCGTTGGGCATTTTATTTATTTATTTATTTCTTCGTTTGATGTGCATCCGGGTCCTGCCGGCGTGCTTAGCGGCTGTTGTGGAGAGTGGGTAGATGAGACGCCGGGTTCAGCGAGCGCGTGGCTGGGGGGTGAGTAAATAGAACTGGCCGGCCAGGCGCGCGCACACCCGAACGAGCGGCTTTTGCATTTCCGTCTTCTCCGAGCCGTCCGTATGAGGTGGCGAAGGGTTTGCGCTGGAAATCAGCTCCTCTCCGTCCTAGTTGCGATGACCTGAAGTCCCGCGGATATTGACCGGTCTGTTGTCTACAGGCATTGCCCACATTCCTTTTTCTTTACAGGCCACGCTTCTGTCCGCCTGCCTGATGCGGTTTCTTGTGCGTAGAAAGATGAAAACAAGCCCAGCTTTCTTTAGAGGGAAAGGGGCTTGTTGCATTTCCAAACCCTGACAAGCGTTTGATAGTCATGAAGTGTATTTAGAGTGTCAGACAGTAACCAGTTTTACTGGATAATTGTTGGGTATAGTGAGGATTGTGCCAATAGAGAAGTCCTATGAAAAGCGGGTGCTGAACCGACGTTGCCGTTTGGCTTCTGTCACCCAGGTGATGACAAAAAAAATAAAAAATGGAGAAGTAGCATTCTTGTGTTGAAGCAAATGCATTTTCCATGCAGTTCTTGTCCTTTCCGGGGGAGGGGGGGAATCGGAACTTTCTATTAAGTGCTCTTTTGTTTGGCTTGCTATTAAACATGCATACCTAGTGCTTTTGTTATCTTCTTGGTTCACTTTCTGCACAGTTTATAGATCTCCCAATCTTATGGCTTTAGTGTAATCCGGGCCTTAAGCAATTAGTCCGCAGGATCTGCTGTTGAGGAATCACGTGATCAGCCTGTACTGTACTCCTGCTTTAAGTGAATCGCAAAGAAGAAGAAAAAGAGCATTCGTTAAGAGATGAATGCTTACAGCCGAAAATTAAAATGACTGTTGTAAGGTGGATGTAAATTGGCGTTTCAAACCGACATTTCTAATAAGACGTTCCCTCTCCAAGAATGGCATTTTTATTTTTAAATTAGACTTCCTTTGGAATAAGCACACTTTAAATGGTTTTACACGGATTTAAATTTCTGACTGTGAGCAAAACTGTTTATTTTTCATTTCTCCACAAAGCAGATCTGCTTGACTGTTAGAAATGGACATCTAATCATTCAATTTTATACAGTGAGAAAAAACACACCAACTATTATCAAAGGAGAAATTTTGTATTACAGACCTAGTCACAGAAGGCTACTTCTGTTGGTTGGACATGGGCATGTTAATCTCATGCACGAGGGTTTACCACATGACTTTAACAAAGCAAAATAGAGTTGGGGACAATCAAATGGAGACTTTTGTATGAGGTGAGGTAGGTTTTGTTTTGTTACAATCTGTTCAGAAATGTTAATGCCAATTGTTTGAAATGGGATGATATTTTAAATTAAACGTAAAGGAAAATTAAATTCATCTAAAGTAAAATAGTTGAGGTTAACAGTTGTGCAAATATATTACCCAAAAAGGTATTTAACATAAATTTTATAACATAAGAAAAATAGGCTTGAAAACATCCAAAGGACTATGCACTATTCAGGAGCATGAACAAATCACTTCTCTTCAAATTGTTAGAGCGTATACATCTTTTGCAAGATTTTTTTCAAGATGGCCTTTTCAAAATTTCTTCTGGCCATGTCCTCTTCCACGATTTGTTTTTTCATGCATTAGGAGATAATTGGGAACAAAGTTTCAAAGCAGATACAAGAGGCTTATAAAAGAAACAGGTCTTTTAGTGGTAACTTCAAAAAGAAGTGCTTTGTTCTTACATTTAAACATTTCCCAGCATCTCTTTCAGATGTTTTGCACAATGTTAATGCAAGTAACAGAGGCATCTACATCTGTTTTCAGTGACTAAATTATAACAACTGAATGCATAACTGAAGCATGAAAGTAACTGTACAGAGAATCATAGCTTTTACAGAATTTTAGGAATTGTCTTTCCTGAAATAACTTTATTTCACTAGGGATAGTTTTGAAGGTAGTTTTGTTATCAATATTTTACCTATATTCAGTTTTGAACAACTTATTTATTTCTTAGCTATTTTGGGCCTCTTCGGTAGGAATGATGCTAGCACTTAGTGTGATGTTTTTGAAAATCATGCCAATGAAATATGAGCAATAGAATAAGACTCAAGATTGCACATTCCCCATTCTCTAGAGCAGCGGTTCTCAAGCTGTGGGTCGGGACCCCATTTGGGGTCGAACGACCATTTCATGGGGGTCGCCAAACAACGCAGTCCGCCATTTCCCCCCCCCTTTTCCTTAGCTGTGCTACTCCCTTTTATTCTATTGGCTTTTGAAAGCCTATAGAATGGACTCTCTTGAATAGAGTCTAATTCTATTGGCTTTCAAAAGCCAATAGGAATTGTCCAGGCTGTCTCTGCCCTGCTGAGCCCGCCAAAATTCCCATTCTGCAAACGGTGGTGCACCAGTTGAGTAGTCCTCGACTTACGACCGGTTGAGTAGTCCTCGACTTACGATCGGTTGGGAATCGCGGCATTAAAAAGGTTGAGAACCACTTCACTAGCACAAGCCCGCCCCATTTGTGCCAGCAGAGACAACCTACTTTGGATCCTGTTGGTTAAAGAACTTCGACTACCGGGATCCAGAAGAGCCTTCCCTGCTGGAGTGCCTGCCCTATGGAACATTTTTCTCTCCAAGGTGAGATCTTCTCCACCCTCCTATATAGAGCCCAAGATCTGGCTCTGCTGGTTAGACTGGGACCCAGTGGGGGATACTACACTAAATTTGATAGCAGGCACGACCTCCTCCCTCCTTCCTTGCTTCTCTACATGGTCATCTTTTATTCTCATATCACTATATTCTCATTGTTTCCATTTTCATTGTTTATTCTATTATTCCATTAGTTTGCTACTGTTATGTTTACACTTCACGAATGAAGGCAAATATATGTATCCTAGAATAATGATGCAAAATAGAATTTGGGTCAGTCACCGGGATCAGAGATTTATTCTACTGACCTTTTGGACCCATGCTGGAGCCCATCTTTGAGGAATTTCTCTACTGGAATATGTGCTTTGGGCTGTTCTGTGAGTCGTGTCTTTGTGTTGCCTTCCTATTGGTTGATTGGTGTGTTGATTGGTGGCGATTGGCTGTTGTTTCCTTGGGCTGCCAAGTGCCCGGCTCCTAAGTATTTATTTATTTATTTATGAGACTTATATACCGCTTTAAGTGCAAGCACTCTCTAAGCGGTGTACACCAGTAAGCAATATATATACATTTACATTGCCCCCAACAATCTGGGTCCTCATTTTACCTACTCCAGAAGGATGGAAGGCTGAGTCAACCTTGAGCCGGTGAGATTTGAACCGCTGACCTGCTGAACACAGTCAGCTAAAGTGGCCTGCAGTACTGCACTCTAACTGCTGCGCCACTTCGGCTCTTTGTATTTGATAGGCAGGTGGTAATTCAGCACTCCTGCTAACTGACAAGGGGTCTGTTGGGAAATTCCCTGAAGGTGGGTTCCAGCATGAATCCAAAAGCTTGGAAGAGTAAATCTCTGGTCCCGGTGACCGACCCAAATTCGATTTCACACTTCTTTTCATTTCTCTGTTTTATTGCAGTATGGCTGCCTAGTATAGCCTCATGGAAAAATAGATCACAAATAATAAATTAATATCTGCCACTTTACTGTCTGTCCTTATAGTTTGGAAATGCTGTTTGGAGCTCTTGCAATACTCTAGCTTTAATCATCTGGAATAATTTGATTTTTGTCTGTCATCTCGCTTACCTCTAATTTTAGACTATCTATGACAGTGGTGACGAACGCCCCAGTCCTAGGCCTTCAGCTGGGTTTTATAAAACTTTTTTGCTTTAGGCCTCCGCCACCGTGTGCACAAAAACAAAAAAGGTTCAATCAGTCAATTTCAACTTCTTGCCGGAAAAGAAAAGGTCTTGTAAAGTTGGAAATGATTGATTGAATGTTTTAGTCCCACCCAGTCTGCCGTTATCACTGCGGCCATGCCTACCCAGTGGGCCACGCCCAGCCAATGGGCCACGCCCAGCCAATGGGCCACGCCCAGCCAATGGGCCACGCCCAGCCAATGGGCCACACCCACCCGGCACTCGACGATGCATAAGTGGGTTTTGGGTTGCAGTTTGGGCATTCGGTCTCTAAAAGGTTCGCCATCACTGATCTATGAACTAAAGGATATCTATTGATCTGAGCAGAAATTTGGATCATTCTTATTTTATATTGCGAACACTGTCCATTTAATCATATTCTCTGCTTTCTAATAATTCTTGTCATTCTATTTGCTTTTCATTCAATTGTATAGAAAGATGGATTTTCCTTTGAATGTATGTGTGGATGAATGAATTGTTCTGTATCAATTGTCTGCAGTACTAAATGGAAATTTCAGAGTGTATCTGGATATATTTATGTCTATTTGGAGGTATACTCTGAGGCGTTCTTCATTTAATAGAAACCAGAATCTTGATGCTGAAATGGATTTCCATTCTATTGGCATATTTCTGAAACTTGTTACTCTATGCTGGCTTTATCTATGCTTGACTTACTAGTTTAGAACTTGCAGTTTTGGAAATTTCTTCTTTGTTTAAAATAAGTTTTCTACAGTTTTCTGTTGGTATCGATGATGGAGTTTCAAGTTTAGTAGACATGGGGGAAACATCAAGACAAGAGAGACATATTAGAATTTTTAATTTTGCAAAAGGATTTATTCTTGATTATTTAAAAGGGAATAGAAGTATAGAAGTTATTAATGTAATGATCATTAGTATTAATGCAACTAATCTATGTTGAAAAAGTCCATAGTCATATGGCCATCCCTCTCAAATATAACTCTGGGTTACTAACAATGAAGAAAAACAAGATAAAATCTTCAAAACTAAATAATAAGTAACCTATACAGCAGTTTAAATAAAACAACCCAATAAACATAAGCATAATATAAACTTAACCACACACCTAGATCCTAAGGTAACCAAACTAGGTATTCAAAGACTTACAAGAGTTAGTAGGGTTAAGGCAAGTCTGTTCTCTGGAAGACTGATGTTCCAGAGAATGGGCCCCAGAACAGACTCTCTTCTTGGATGCAGCCAGATGCATCCTGCTTGGATGCAGCTGCTAGTATTTAAGGAAATATTTTTTACATCTTTTCATTTTTGTTTGCATATCATTATTTGTATGCAATAATGAAAAATAAATTAATTTCTAATCTTCAGATGATTT